CTCCTCCTGCCCCTGTTCCCTGGAGCACAGCCCGACCCCCCCGGCTGTCCCCTCCTGGCAGGAGTTGTGCAGAGCCACAAGGTCCCCCCTGAGCCTCCTTTTCTCCAGGCTGAGCCCCTTCCCAGCCCCCTCAGCTCCTCCTGGGGCTCCAGACCCTTCCCCAGCTCCCTTCCCTTGTCTGGACATGCTTCAGCTCCTCAGTGTCTGCCTTGGCCCAATATGTATGAATATATACATAAATACACATACACACACACACACATCTATATAAATTCAGGCATGGGGATCTGCAGAGATCTGAAAAAACTCAGTACATCCCATCCAAAGGTCTTGTGTGACTTTTGTGCAATATTCCAGCTAAATAAATTCAACAACTTCTTCCTGGGGAGAAGATTTCTGCTTGTCAGATTTTTGGCCATTTCTCTGGATCCTGAAAATTTTTGTGCAGGCACACCTAGAGTACACATAATTAAAAACAGCCACGGTTATAGAAAAATATTCAAATAGGTTATGAGAGATTAAGATTTAAAGGTGGATTTTTGTTTTCATTTATCCTTCTGCTAGCATCCAATTCTATGGTTCAGTGAGGAAACAGAGCCATAAAGATAATTTAATATGACCTCCTCAAGATGCAGGCCAAAGAACCTTTTTAAAAAAAAAATAATTTCTGCATGAAATAATTCAGGAAAAGAAAAGAATAGATCAAACACATCCTTCTAGCAGAGTCATTACCTCTGAATATTCTAGGAGGCTTTGGAAACACTGCTTTATCTCTCCTTCTTCCTTGTGTTTAATTTTTAGTGAGCTGGGATAAAGCAGGTAAGTATAAACATTTCACATTCTGCAGTGATTCCACTCCTTTCAAGCCCATTATTATTCAGGACTTACCAAACAACACTGGAACTTTGAAATTTTGCCCAAAGGGGGAAGATAAGATTGGGTAACAGCTACTCACCTATGACACCTCACCTAACATTATCAAAAGGAGGAAACATTCCTCATGTAATTAAATATTTATTCCTTTAAAGGTATAACTAGAGCACGAAAATACATTTCTACCTCCCACAGCTTTTATCAAGCTGTCAAGTTCTCCATAACTTGGTGTTAACTGAGTCATAAAGGGAAAAATATCTAAAGCAGGAGAAATGTGTGAACCCTTGCTTGAGGATGCACTTGGTCATTCAGTGAGAAACAGGAAAAAATCTTGGTTATTCCTGATCTCTGCAGGTGCAGCTCAGCAGCAAAATCAGGGCTTGCTCAGCTTCCAAAAAGGTGCCTGAATTCCTGCTGGGATGATGTGGGATAATGTGCCTGCCCTTGGAGACAGCTTCAGACCTGACCTTTCCTTTCTGGGTAAACTCCTGGTGAAGTTTCAACCAATAAACTTTATCCTTTTTTGTCTCTTCCAGCTTCCTCCCTTCTCCACACACATATTCATCATCTGACAAATTAAATGAACAGCCCAGTCTGGTCTGAGGGGTTGTTTATAAAAACAACAGAGTGTATTTATAAAATGAGTGAAAGGAGGTACATTGACTTATTTCCATTACAAGCCTTTAATTCAGATTCATACCATGGGGCTCATTTAAAAAAAAAAAATCCACACCTACTAATTTTTTGCTTGAAAATTCAACTGAAAATTGCATTTTTTATATGCAGACATGTCATTTTAAGTCTATAAATATCCATCCTCTGTATTAAAATCAAGTTTCAGAGGGACACAAGAACCTTGCTTTGGCCAGCTGTCTTTGAGATACAGAACAAAGCACCAGATATTAAAATACCCACACAGTATTTTTGTTTTCATGGGACTGTTTCCTTCTGGTTTTCACACCATGGTCCACCTCTTCCTAAGGTGTGGAAGAACTGAACTAGAGATCAGCATTTCACACTCTGAGGGCAGAGTAGCAGGAAATTACTGGATCAAAGTGAATCTCTGCAGATGCTTTAAACCCCTCTCCCTTATTGTCAAAGTATTTGTTCAGCTTTAAACATATGAAAACTATCCTTCATATGGAGACAAGTCCTTCAACTCTGGTGTGAGTTTAATAATGAGCTTGAGATCAGTGGGAATTAAGGATTAAAAAGTGCTATGTCTGAGTAAAAGACTAAGTTATTTTGCTACACCTCAGACCTCTATTCCTTTGTAGTAATGACTTACTCAGTAGCTCCTTGATCTAAAATACACATTTAGCTATGTTAACTCTTCACTTTCAGATTCTCATTTTAATAAATAAACAAGTAAGGGAAAAGAAAAAAACAACCTAAGAAAATTATTTTGAAAGTTATGTATAGGCTTTCTGTGTTCTCTGACTTCTTAATTCAGGAACTGTTTCCTTGCTGAAGATGAGTATTATAAATTGAAATACCTTCATGGTCATTTTTCTTGTGGTTTATTCAAATGGGAAGATTATCAAATAGGAAGTTTATCAAAATGGAAAGCAAAAAATTTTCTCTAGCCTTCTTCTTATGGCCACAGATGAAAAGCTACAGACATTTCTGACTGACTTTGGTAACTCGGGTGTCTAATTCTCACAGAGAAAATACAATGCCTGGCATATGAATAACAAAAAGAGTGACCACAGAATTTAAATCCACACTAGAAACTGTCCCCAGCTCAGGGAGGCCTCTCTGACCTTCATGTTGATCTTCAAAACTGTCATTTGCTGTATATTTATCAACTGGAAGCAAATTATTTAAAAATAACTAAGTTCTGTCATTAAGAAATATATAAATATATTTTCTTGCATTTCAGGTACAACTTGACCATTTTCCAGGTTTTATGTACACAGGAAGATGTGATACACACATATTTTGGTTGAGATCCAAGGTGATATCATGAAGAAGAGCTGCAGATTTCTGAGCAAAGGTGTGGAGTTCCCTTTTTTCAATGGAGAAATATCTCTAGAGAACATTTCCGAAATCCACATTATTTTTTTATGTCTACCCTTCATGCTACACTCAAAATTCTTCTAGATCTGTAAGATTTGCAAGATTTCAAGATGGAAAGTCTGTGGGATGAATTCTTGATTGGTGCAGTTAGCAGAATTATCATTGTGGTAACTGTGACATTGTGATAATGAATTTCACAATTTACTTATTTTAAGAAAAAAAGAATTTTTTTTTCAAAATATTGAACTTGCTGTTTGACAGTTCATTTTCTAACACTGGATTTTTGAGTTCTTTTTTAACCAGTGGTTACTTTTTGCTTATTTAGATTCATAGAATCACAGAATGGTTTGGGTTGGAAGGGACCTTAAAGATCATATAGTTTAACGCTGTTGGTTCCTTACCTGATTTAGACTCTCCTTGCATGACAGCAATTCCAGATTTTGTAATGCTTCTCATGTTTCCATGTACTTTCCCATCCCTTTTTTCAGAGGAGTGGATGAAGACTGCAGGAACAATTCGAACACAGGCACCCAATATTTCCCTCTATCAAACCTGTCCTCATCCTGTTGGCTTTACTGCATGAGCTGGGCACTGAGCTGGCACATCCTGGTTGGTTCCTGGCTCATTTTTTCATGTGCATTACTCTATCATTTATCAACACTATGTTTTTTTGTGTGATCATAAAGATATTTAGAGCATAGATGGACAAAAGGCAAACAATCCATCCAAAAGTAGGACTCTAATGGCCATGGACTAAGCTGCTCAAAATCACTCTGGATTCTTTCCTTACTGACTCTGATTTTCCTGGAGCATTTCACAGACACAGTCACTATTCTGAGTGAGTGACTGGTCCCAGACTCCTTTCACTGTGATTGTATCCATGGAGGCCCCAGCACTGGAGAGTCCACATGTTCACAGGTTCCTTTAGACTCCATGCTTTCCTCTAAACTTTTCCAAATTTGAGATGCCTTTTAGAGCAACAACATAGTTTTAAAGCAACCATCAAGCTAATCCATCAGAGTTTTAGAGGAAAACACTTCTGAAGAAGAGCTATTACTTTTCTTCATGGTAAATTGCCTATTTTCCTTTTTCATGCAGCATGCAGGACATTTTTACCTGTCTATTATTTGCTATTTTTGTCTTTAGATTCTGTATCTGTCTTTTGTCTCTGTAATCTCATCTGTAAAGATTCCAATTGCTTTTAGGGGGTTAATTGTTATCACAAGCAATGTCAGTCTTTGTCAGACTCCAGGGCTTTATAGGGAAAGCTCTGCAAGCACTTCCCCACATCTCATATATTTTGGTCATGTCTACACTCTCCAGCTCTGATTGGGGAACTGCTTTTATTACACAGTACAACTAAAGAAAGCAGAAATAGTAATTTCCTAAAAGACCTCTGAGAGTACATTTCTTTACATAGACTGTGTAGGAGGGCAATAGAACAAAATTTGGTGCTTTGCTATTCTGAGGAATAATCAGCGTATCTGAGACAACATCCAAACATCTCTCAAAAACTCTGCAAGGGCTACACTTGTCACTACTGCTGTAACTCAGTGTTTATCACAGTGTTTCAAATCCCCTGTAAGGCCATGAATGTTCCCTTAACTTGATACTATCTAATTATAAGGAAAATTAATAGATATCCATTCTTTTCTTTAATATATACACTCAGACTTTTTGATGGTGATAATACAGGCTCTGTAATTAAGTAACTGTTAGTGTCAAAAGGGAATAAAAGTAGATATTTGTGTAGTGGACTTTGTTCAGGTCTGTGACATTGGTACAATAGGTGATTCCAAGGTTGTGAAGTGCCAACCTTACAAGTGAATAAATTGAATTATCTTTATGATTGTTCTGAGGTGTTGTATTTAAACAAATAATTTCATCCCACAGGACACATGTCTCATATGTATTGAGGGTTAAATCTACCAGATTTAAACTTTGGTTTTGACCCACTGACCATGTTTGGCATATTTTGCCTATTAAAAAATGAAAAATATCACAAAAATTAAGAACAAAAAGGAATCACAAGACAGAATTAGTGACTCTGTAATCAACTGTGATTCAGGAGATACCCGTGCATTAAAGGAGACGAGCCAGATTGAGGATTCCAAGGTTAAATGAGTTTATTTAATTAGTGGTTACAATGGTATGTCAGATACCTGTAATCCAAGCTACACCTACATATTTGCCTCTAAATTCTCACACTGTCAGTTTCCGTGTCTCTAAACATTCCACCACCAGGTCTTCTATTACTAAGATAATAATAATAATAATCAGAATAATAATCATAATATAAAAGGCAATGTCAATCACCATATTGTGCTTCATACTCCACCATAAGGAATTCAATTGGCAAAAGTAAACCTCTGGTCATATTAATGGGATTAATTGAAACGTGAGCAGTCATAACAATACTAGAATATAAAGAACGAAATCTGGTTCAAAAGAAGCATTTTTAAGATGAATTAGTTTGAATCTGTTTTAAAAATTCACATACTATAATGAAGATGACTTAAAAGTTATATCATTTAATTATTGGGCCACACATTGAAGCATATTGGCTAGTACATTTTTGCACTGCAACAGAAGCAATACAAGCTTTATGGTCTACCATTACAATTCCTTTTTTTTTTTTAATTTTTCACTTAATATACCTGCCAACCTAATGTTTCTTGCATGCATAAAAATTTCGGGGTTTAGACTTGAATTTATCATTTATTCCACATGTATACCCCCGTGACGCAAATTCTTTGGCCAATTTAATGCTATAGTTTAGCTTAAAAAGGAAGCTTGGAGTTAAGTCCACTTAACATCAGAAGGCAATGCCCTGAATTTTGGGCACTGCAGAGAGTTATTTACTGGAATAGAGTCTCAGGTCGCATGCAAATTGTCACTTTGTCCCCCCCACCCCATGCCAGACGCACACAAGTCGGCAGGTACGCATACAAAAAAGAATAAAAAACCCTCCTGGTAAAGCTCAGTGGTTTAGAATGAATCCATAGCTTTAAATTCACTTAAGGCCTGTACAGGGGAAATATGTTTCTTCTGGGACCCTCTCCTCACTCTTGTCTGATATTCTTCTGGTTTTTCTCTCTTTACTAGAGGTTTCTTCTCGGGGGCCTTCATCTTCCAAGAGACAACTGGGGAGTTCACTGCAGCAGTGCCATAGACCTTCTGATATTTAGTAGAAGCCACATATGATGCTTTCACTGTAAGGACCACAGCGTTCATCAGGTTTTTAGCTGCCTGGATGAGAGAAGTGGCACTGTCCAGCTACAAAGAGAAAACAAAATGAAATATAGCAAGGTTACTCCAAAACAATATACAGCAAGGTCATTCCATGGCTGGATCACTGGGCCATTTCCTGACTGGAGCCTGGATCCTCCCAGATCTCATTAAAGATAGAACAAATCCTCTTCCTCAGGGCACCCTGGAGTATCCAGCACTGGCAACATCATGTACTGAACAGGAAAGGTAAAACTGTGGTACCTCACATTAATTTTTTTTCAGTAAGATAAAGGAAATCAGTGTTGTCTGGGGTTGTTCTTTGTTTGTCTGTTTGTGGGGCTTTTTTTGGTTGTTGATTCTTTTTCTACAGTTGAAGAAGTTTTCTGTTTTCTCACAAAAAACCTTTTACTTCTCACTTAAACTTTTAAAAATTTACCGTTACACGTCAACTGCAAAACAGGTCAACAGGGATTTTTCCCAAGTGTTCCAGTTTGTTCTAATTATTCCTGTTAGCCCAGGATAACACCCCCAGTGATGTCTACAGGAACAGTGTGAGGCCAGCACTGAGCTTGTTAAAGAATCCCATCTGAAAAGATGAAAGGAGCTTCTGAAACCCCTACAGAAATGAAAAGATGAGACAGTTAACTGCAGGTTTTGGCAGCTCCTGTAATGTGTGAGTTACTCCTGGTCTCAAGGAATGTTACTTTGTGGTTACCAAGCTTTTTGTACCTTTGTGCTTCTCCCATGCACAAACCTGCCTGAGGTTCCTGGGTGTCCTCAGGATGTAAGAGCTCTCAAGGACTTCTGAGCTTCAAAAGACTGGGACTTCCAGTCAGCAAGCTTCCATCATACTGAAGTGAAGTACACAGCCCTGGCCAAAATTTTCAAAAGGATTTTAAACATATAATGGGGACTTCCAAGGCAATGCCTCAGTGTCCCACGATGTGAATCAGGTACTCGCCAGATCCACGTGGATATTCTGAAAGTAATAAATTCTAAAAATATGCTCCTAAGGACTGTAGCAAGGCAGGCTACTACTAATGATGTTCAATTATCCGTTTCCTAAAGTACTCGAGTGGGATATACATTTTTTTGTGATAAAGCCTTTCAGATATACCACAGAAGCTGCTTCAATTACTTATGTCTTTCCCAGACTGTAGGAATGATATGGGATGTAGTATTATTTTACCTCTTTGATTCCATCCCACATGCTCAGTAAGTTTTTAGCTATTTTTAATTAGTACAAATGGCCTGTGTCACTCCAAACTTTTCCTGCTCCCTATTTTGGGAGCACATGGCTGTGTAACATAAATGCTAAGCAAGGTAAGCAGGACAAACAGTTGTGAGGCAATAACAAAAGCCACACCATACTTCACCTCAAGCATTCTGCATCATTAACAAAAGAGTTCAGGAGAAATCTCCTTCTGAAGGGTCAGTGACTGATGTGAACAAAAATAAACATAACAGAAATCCTGTATTTGAAACCACATTAATCTATACTTACCTGGGGTGTTTTATTTCCTCTGCTCTGGCCTTAAACTCATTATGGTTCATGAAATACATAAACAGCTACACACAGTGAGGTGAAAACCAAAAAAAAAAAAACATTTTAATGACATTCACGTATGTGGTGCCATTCCCTGAAATGCACAGTTAATTGCCTGCCCCTAGTAAATATTTTTCCTTGGGACTAATTTGTATTTCTGTTAGTAAAAGAAATGAAGTTAAAAGATGGAAAATTACATTACATGGCAGAAACATGACTGCTCAATAGGGAGTAATGAAATATAATCCAGTCTAGTGTTATTCTATAACCACACTGCTGCATGATTTATAAGGCAATCTGTATGTTTGTTGGCAAATAACAGATCACACTCTATTAAATTAGGATATTCTAATTTACTATAGAGATCTACAATCAAGCATTATTCATTGTTAAATGATTCTTTTTGAAACACTGGTGGATTGATATTGAATATAAAGTGATACCATCAAATAGTGTTTACTTCATAATCAGTGTGGATAAACTGACTGGATTGAGCCTCTATTGCACATTCCTGAATGAATTCTCTTTGCTGAAGGTTTCCAACAGCTTCATATTTTCCACCACAAAAAGCTGTTTTACATATATTAAGAAACAGAATAATTAAAGTGAAGCATTTTAAAATGAGGGGGCACAAAAATTAGATGTTTAAACCCATACAGAGTTCGATCTACACCTCTGAACACAGCAATCAGCAATTTCATGGATTGTAGTCATGCAGAATCTTGGAATTCACAATCAGATGCAGGCTGCAATGACACCTTTTAGGAAACCAAGTTTTGTATTTTGATGCCATTTTAACTCTCTTCAGTTTCAACATGCTGTTAGAGTAGATAAGAGCTCCCAGTTTTCACCATTAATAATCACATTTTGAGATGCACATACTCAGTCTTTAACCCAAACATCCACTTATCTTGTAATACACTTCCAAGTCTTGGAACCAGAAAAGAGACATAAAACCCCACCACAGGCTGTGAGTGTTCTCCAGAATCTGCTGGTGGTCATTCCATGCATCCAATTTGGCCACCTAAGCACTTCCCATGATTTTCTTACAGCCTCCAGCTCCTTGCTTGTATTATGGCTCAGCAAAGAAGAAGTAAACTGAATGAACATCATCCCAATTAACATTTAGATCTTCCCACAGCACTGTGTTGCTCCAGGTTTAAGCTGTGCTTTGCCTCACTGGCACAAAGCTGGAACGAGGCAGCAGTGAATCAAGCCCTGAGTGTGTTAACTCCTTACAAAATCTGGGCACAGAAACCTGTGCACTTTTCCAAATGTTATGTTAATAATAAAAATATCCTAAAAAGGAAAATTAATATCTCAAATAAAAGCACCGCTAGGAAAATTACTTCACAGTACAGAAGGCAACCTTTACTCCCTGCAATACCCACAGAATTATAGATATAATGATGGATTTTGGTCCTAACAGCCAACAGAGCCTTTGGCTTGCTGCACGAAGTAATGGTGTTCTGCTGCTTAGACATCTTTAAAAATGTGTTTGCCTGCTTTTAGGAAAAAAAACAACAAAACCCTCTCTTAACCATAAAAGATAAACTTAGGTGACTGTCTCACGAAATTCAGTGAATGCTGAGGAAAATTCAAAATTCACTAAGAATAACTGCACTGGACTTGGTCACTTAGAATAATTCAGGTTGGAAAAGATGTGCCAAGAATATAATTCCAGGGTTTTCTTCCCCCTAGAGAAGATCCTTCAGGTTTTGAGGAGTTTTTGAGGTGCTTATCAGCTGTCCTGAAATTTTCCTGCACTATTTGCAGAATTTTCCAGAATCAAGAGATAATCAAGATTTCTTGCTTCTTTTACACATAATCTAAGTAAAATAACCAGCAATTGCAATAACAAAACAGCTGAAGAAATGGGAGGGAATAAAGCTGGAAACTTTTGTCCTCAACAGTAAAGCAATGAAAAGAGATGTTCTCCCTGCATTGTCACACTGCTGTAATGGGGAAGAATTATAATTTATGTTTTAGAAAGGATAAAATCTAACTTCCAGAGATGTCTTCATATTTATAATAATAAATATCCATAAAAAATAAGGAAAATTGAGGGAAAAAAATCAGTCTGTATTTCGAGTGAGTAAGGATACACAATAGGTAGTTTTAAAAGAGGTGCTTGCTTAAGAATGTTCTATATTATTACTGCTGACTTCAATAAACCTTGAAAAGTGGGTGAAGACATCAAAACAATTGTCTTTTAGACAGATAGTTTCTAGTCTCTAAATATTTGAGCAATGAAAATAAAATGACCTGTGAAATTACAGGCCAGCTCAGCTGACAGCACTTCCAAATTAAATGATGCAATGTCTGTGGCAGACTCCATAAATAGAGGAAAGAAATGCAGTTCGTGGTAAACAAAGAGTTGTGTGGGTTAAAATATTTTCAAAGTAACCTACATCATATTTTGGTATGATTAAACTCTGAATTGCTTAAAATAAAGCTGTGGGTATAATTGGATCTTTGAAAGGTCTTTTGCTTAGTAATACATGACAGCTTGATTAAAAACTCAGTTGACATAAAACTAACAAGACACATACACAGAAGGATTCCAGATTCTCCAGCAGCTGCTTCCAGAAGTATATATACACACACACCAAAAAAACCCAAAAACCAACAGTGCTCAACAGTGAATTTCGCAGTGGGGTCTTGGAGAAACCATTTGGAGGTTTCACAATATTAATATTTCTTCTAAAAGCTTGGAAAGAAAGTCACTTATTTGATGAAATTTGCAGATAACAATTGGGAAAGTGTCAAGTCATGCAGAGGGTAAGTGATTGATATCTAATTAGCTGCTAAAACCCACAAATGTAGATTCAATTCTGGCCAGATCTACAGCAGATGATACCTAATTACACAATAAGGAACTTTATTCTCTGCAGGATCCCAGGCAATCACCCCGAGTGCACAAAGAGGAGGAGACTGATTAAATAGGTTCAATTATCATATTCAGTTTATTGTCTGTCCACAGTCATGGGATACTGAGTCCTCTTCTCAATGCAAGAACAATACTGAGGAACTGGGAAAGAACTTAGAGGAACTCAGGAACAAAAACCATCTTTTATGGGAAAGACTCAGCCAGCTCTGTTTTTTCCCACTTTCAAGTGAATGACTAAAAAGAGTTTTCACTGACTGAAATCAGCAAGTACATGGTAACAAAGCTGATTATATTTCAAGTTCCCCATGTGAGACAAAGATAAAACAAAACTTAAAGGCCGAGAGGCAAAGCAGGTCATTTTAGTTATTAATTACCTGAAATTATTTATTTAGCAGCTATATTAATTAATCACAAGAACTCATGAAAGATTGATTCTATTTCTTGAAATTGTGAAATCAATATTGGATGGTTTTGCTTAATATGTATTAACTAGTGGACATTTTTAGTGCACATCAATTCAGGGAGTCTGGGCATCAGTTATGCAGGAAGGCAGCTTAGCTGATAACAGCCCCTACTGACCTTGACAGGCAGGGAAACAAAAAATTAGTA